TATGAGATGAAAGTCGAAACTCACTCACACGTTTTTGCATGCTAAAATCGTTGATTGGCCACATGCCTGCCAAAAGAAAACAGCAACCGTGACTAACAGAGGTAGGTCCGCGAGGCGATCAATTGTGATCGTAAAAGCAACTCTGCTGCCCAAGCATTATTATCTTAAAATGAGGATGATACAAATAATACAAATATAATATCAATAATTGTTTTTCATTAGAAGGTGATTAAAATAAATAACTCGTTGGACATGCGATGCCAAACATAAGAGGACAGAGAATACTGATGTTTATGTGTCCTTGCGATGACCATTTCGTAAGGTGCTGCCGATCTTTCATACGAATTCAAATTCATTTTGAAAAGGGAAAAACTAGTGCTCAAAATCTTCATGTCATCAGTAAAACACACTGATCTTTCTGTGTTGAGGTATCAGAATTTAGACCAAGTTCATCATGATAGTCATAGCAAAGTGAAAATGGTACTTGTATGAACGAAGCACTGAAAAAGAATGAAAATAGTATGCTCCAAAACTATTCAAGAAGCATAGCATATGCAGCAGCTGGTAAATTTCAGACGCAACAGCCTCGATGCGGGCTTATACCGAGTGGCACTATGACGCCTAGTTGTATGACTCAAATACTTATTTGCATAAAAGGTCGTTGAAGGACCATTCTGTGATGTCGACGAATGAAAATATAAAATTGCGAAATATGGGCAATCGTTAGACATATTTGTTGTTCGATATAACCGTTGAGCTTATGAGCATGGCACCGCACTTAATAGAAATGAGTGAAATAACTCGCATCCAATCATAATGACAAAATGAGCGAGGCGTCGTCATCCTAATGGCACCTTTAGGATGATGGCACAATGCCGTGTTTAGGCCCCATATTATTGGTGTGAATTCATACGAAAGTATTATGAAATTAGGCTTTTCAAGAATATAGAACGGATTCTGACGATTGGCTTAGTATGTCAGATGATTCTTTCATCAAAATCTTTTAATTCATTATATTCATGGCCGTTGATTTGATGAAGACTTTATCTTAGACTTCTTAGACTTTGTCACGGACAATTCTTCCTTGTTCATGGATTGGTAATGCGGTGGCACAGTTCTTAAAGGGTCTACTTTGAACTCGAATTCCAGAGGTACCGAGGTCGATTCCGGCAGCAGATAATATTATGTTCTTTATCACGAAGTCCCTTGAACAAGGAATATTCTACATGTTGCTTCAGGCCAATCGTTGGAGCATCAGACTCAGAAGTGAGGGGTCATGGGTTCCAGCTCATCTCAGGGTTGTTCGCCTTCCGTCCGTCCCAGGTTGATAAATGAGTACCACTCTGATTAATGCGTGTGAACAAATTATGACTTTGTTTTTCGCATAACTGATTTTCGATTCTGCCTTAAAAATTAAGCACTCATAGCTAATGATATGTAAATGAATATTTGCGCCCCGATCATTGACTTCATTAACCATTTACATAATTAACAGTGGTGCTAATTGATAAATGAAAAAGAGAATCATTCACTGGATTTCTACATAGCGCTACTGTTGCTCACAAAGTAAACCAACAGATTAAGTAATGTTGGCTTCCCTTATTTGGGCAGAATAAGTTGCTGGCAATACATGTCTCGTTTTGCCGGTTCGTTGACCTTAGTTATAGTCATATGTTGTTGGTACATGGAGCCCTTATGTTGCATTTAGATGTGGTATTCCTGCGAAACTGGTATCATTCCATCACCCCTGGAAATGGCCTTGGTTGATATCATTGCATCAGGTAAGAATCAAATATAAATGACGAAGATATCAAAGTCCTAACCACTCTTCAAAACATTTTGGCGCTGAAACCTTACAGGCGCAGGAAAAACTTTCTCGGATGCACGATGGAGAGCTACGGTGGCAACTGAAAGGTATTACTTAAAAGAGGTGCATGAATTCGGCTTGCATATTTGTATATACCATAAAAACGTTTTACAAATCCGCCAAAAACTAGCACATGATTAGAAGGTGACTGTGGATTAGAAGGTGATGTTGAGCCTTAGGCAAAAATGGCGATTTATCAGCGAAGAACTCAGTGTTGAACGCCAGAATTAAAAAATACACCAAGATCTTTCCACTAATTCGTACTCTCAACTATGAATCGGCTAATAATCTATAATTTAGTTCAATATTTTTTCCTCAACTGATGCTACTGTTAATTCAAACTTTTCTGTATATAACGTAGTCCGGTTATGAGGTATAGATGCAATTGACGCAGAGTCTCTAGAGACACGACGAGATGCGTTTAAGCGCTATCGATTTCTGAGTTGCAGTATGTTTACAAAGGATCGCAAGGCGCTTTCATCGAAGCAAGGAATTTGACCAGCGTAAGGATTGGCATAAGTACCTTTAAGCTAAGCAATGATACTACTGCTGAATAAGTATCTGTAGAGTAAGTGAGGACTGCCTTTCTTTCCTGAAAATGAGAATCGATGAGCTTTTCATGTTGGAACAACTGTTTCAGATAAAGTGTTCCTGTTTTTCAGGAAAGCAGACGTGAGATTTCTCAAAATAAACAGAGATACGTAGAACTAACTGAATAGCCACGTAATCCCCAAGGCAGGTCGGCTATACACCGGTGAGTTTTGCACCTCTCGCACACTGCCTCTAACAGAAGGCAGAAACCTTATGAAACCATGCTCATTCAACCAGATTTCTATTGAGCATCCTTTCAAGACGGTAGTAAAGCAGAACAAAAATTTATTACAGTCTTCCTTGATAATAATTGAACATCAGCCGCTAACCCATCACATAATAGTATAAGTTATAAGAAAATATGAGATGCCAGCGTTAGGTAACTCGATGACTAAGGTTTGACTCTTTCGCAGTAGTCAGAATCTAAAACAGGGTTCAAATACGTCATGCACAGTTAATCAGGGCAAGTTGGTCGTTCACACATTCTTATTCTTTATTGGAAGATAAAAAGTGGGATCAAAGGAAAAGTAACTGAAATTTATGTAACTACACTGAGTTAAAAGTTACCGTTCGTCTTGACGCCCAAGAAACGTGTGTGCCATCTGAGGGGATCACGGTCACTGATAGAAAGTACCACGTAAATATTGACCATACTCTACGGATAATATCAAAAGATTATAACTCTGCTGTAATGAGGCAGTCTAAAAGTTGCACATTAATTTTCCTGATGTAAAGACAAGACATGCGCAGTGTGCCGTTTTGACTTTGTTCAACCTTGTTTATTCATGTTGATAGCTATCTTTGCCAAAAATAACATAAAATATGGGTGAAGGAGCCAGAGAACTGCAGTCCAGTGTCTTTGGAATGACCAGCTCTGATGATCTTTTTAGGTACTTTCAATACTCATCTGAAAAATTTACTATTTACTCAGCTGAGACCCGTGCAAATTAATTATAATTGCAAAGCAATTCGATTTGAATTCCTGAATTGATTACTTATCTAAGCATAATCTCAAATAGGAAACAACAATTCTATTAGCCCAATCATATTTGCCGGAAGTGAAACAAGAACACGGTTTGAAACGTTACAGAATGATAACAGGCTTATGAGGCTTTGCAAGCAAAGTAGATTCGAAGGTCTACAAAGCCGTACACAAAATACTGTCAGTGCTGCAGCTAGTCACATCTTTCCAGGCTTTCAGTCAGCCAAAAAAGTTAGAGAATGCTTACCATAGAGACTGCTTTCATCAACTACTAATCGGATATGCGTATCTGTTTCGTACATTAAGTTATCTAGCTATATTTCTATGATATTTTGCTTACTGTACAGTTTCAAGTTTTGACAACCCATTATGTTGATATCATTCAGCATTATTAAAGCAAATACATTTGATTGCTCTGTTGTCTACGTTTTCATTTATGCTGAAATGCAAAACATTCGGTGATATTCTTTAGGCAGCAAATAACGCAAACCACGCCGAGAAGTACTGCAATGGGCTTGTGGATTTTTAGATGCGTCCGTATGAGAGAAAAACTGTTCTCAATTTGCATCATGGTTTGGTTTTTCTTTTGCTGAATATGAAACATTAGAGCCAATATGCAGAGAGGTTAGCTGACAGTAAAGCTTGTTGAGTTTAAAGCATGTAAGCTTTTGAATCTTTTGTACGGCAGCAAAGAAAACCACTGAGTGAAAACTGCACATAATTTAGTATTGCACACATTGCAATTCACACTGACAACAAATGCACATATCGTATCATCAAAAAGTCCAAACTTCAAAGCAAAAGGTTGCACAAAAATACGCACCAACTGTATATGTCCATCACACAAATAATAAAATGGTCGAAAACGCAGATGCAAAAGCTCGTATACGCGAAATCAAGGTCAGTTACAATGGTGACGATGATAACGACTATCCATGCGATATGTCTGGAGAGTTAAAGTGATCAGTAAGCTCATTGAAAGTGTGTGAGTGCGTGCGTGCGTACGTCACACCGAGAATGGCCATTTGCTGCAGCAGCCGTCGTCGCCTACTGTAACCTGGACTGCCAGTAATGGGACACGGCACAACCTGACACGTCGTTCAGCGACTGACAAGGTACCTGCAGTGGCACCGAAACTCCAGCTGTTATTAGTCCTACAATTGAACAGATTTACAAAAGAATAAGTCGCATTGAAATGACTGACTTTCTCTCAAAAACACACACACACTTCTTGATAAATCCATGTTTGCAAAACACAATCGAATGGAATTTAATGATCAACTCTCGTTTAAGACTGGACTCATGCACGACTTTGAAGATGCTCATTTACGAACCTGGCAGGGAGGACACAAGAGGCAACTCCGCCAGAGACCGTTTAGTTATGAATCCAACCGGCAAGCAACTCGGGTCAGTCTCAAAGAACATGGTGAACATTTGTTAGAAACTAACGAATTAAACCTGAACAAGGCGGCAGTATCTTGAAACAGCCAGATTTCATATTGATCTTAAGAGAAAACCATCTGAAGGAAAAACACCTGGCTGAAAAACCAGATAAAACAAAGGAACCGAACAAAATAAACTCTTTTCATCGTATCGTCTGTCCCCTATTCAGTTCATCAAAAAGATTAAAAATTGAAAACTGAAGCTGAAATATTTCGGTGATAGGCAACAGTCAATGCAACAATTGTTACGGAACTATCTTGGAAGCTGCATTACACAGCTATTTTATGCTGTAATTTATTTTATTTACTCGAAGAATGTAACAGAAGCAAAGTTTTAAAACAAAATGACTTTTGTCCGTTAAAGGTACTACTGAGGCTGCATAGCAGTACAGATTTCAGATGGAAACCCGTTATTCCCTACCCCATTTCCAATTCTTATCGCTCGCTATCAAAATTTCTTTCAAACAGATATGACCATCAATTAAATTACTATTTCTTCCAACCTAAGAAGGAATTGACGGACCTTATAATATGTGACAACAATAAACAGAGTTCATAATTATTATAATTAAAACACAGATTCTATATAAGTAATTATGATAATCTGAATCTAATTAATTGTGATAATATCAAAATAATACGACTCGGACCTTCGATCCCAAGTTCGGATGAGAAAAGGCGAGGATTTGGGACGCGACAAAGTGTAGTGTGAAAAATTGCCACATATGGCAGTCATCGAACATGATACCAGCTCAGTCGTCCTCTCGGATTGGCCGCTGAGGCTGTTAAGACATTGATATAGACTTCGAAAAATCGAAGATTGCCTTCTGGTAGCTATGGGCAAAGTGGCACGCCAGTGACTGTCGAAGATGAACAAGAAAACGGTGAAGATATCAATCAGGCAAAGGCACTCCCCATTCTGAACAGCGGAAGCCGAGAGCGCAATGCTATTATGGCACGTCAGATTGCGTTATATGGCAGCGAAACCGACAGTGGGAACTCAAAGTTGGAAGTTGGAGCATCTACTCACTCAGAAGAGAAAGCAGGAGATATTTAATGAGGTCGAAAAGTGCTGACTAGACGTAGTTTGACTCTCCTCAACGAAGTACAAAGGCACTAGAATTCTGACGCTCTGGGAGTGGAAGCTATTCACCCAAGTATGGGCATTGCGACACATGCTCCGGCCGGTTTCAGGTCGCTGGTACGACACAACTTGGATGGCAGAATCATTGCATAGAAGCTGGTCAATGGAAAAATAGCAATCATCCAGTTGAAGTTACAATGGACTCAAGCTACTACCTTGTTATGGTCTATACTGCCAATTTTGAAAGAGGGTATAAGTAGCTCTTGGAAGAGGTAGAAAGTGCTTCACAGGAAGTGTGGACAAATTATCCCTCATTCTAATGGCTGATTTCAATGCGCACGTGAAAGCAGACGCTAGAAAATGGAAAGACGTGACTGGAAAGGGGATCTTAACATAACGGCTAGATATTGATGCAGGTTTGTGCACACAACGGACTCTCTGTTATGATCATTTTCTTCGAGCACCAAGGCATGCATCAGTATACCTGTGTAAGCATACCTATGTACAGAAGTCATTATCGATTCGATAATCGTATCGTATGACTTAACGACACTCTGTAACGGATGTTCGCGTTAAGTGAGACGTAGAGCCGTCAACCAACCATAACCCTGCTGTTGGCACCATACGGTATAAAAGATACAGTACAATTCAAAGTGCTGGTGGCAGAAGCACCGGAGGATCAAAGGGGAGATATTTTCTTCTGCAGGTCATGGAAACTGAGATGCTCATTAACAGCGGCATACACAGGGCTGCCGCAGCTTAAAACGAACTACCTGGCGGACGTGGAAGTCGAAAGCGGCTGTCAGCAACATAAAGGATGCAAATTAAGAAGCATGATTAAGAGGCGGTTTAAAAGCAAAGAATTTTCAACTCGAATGCTATAAGAGGAAGCGTTCAAGGCGGCAGCAAAAACAGTGGTCAAAGCGATAGCTGATCCCTTGGAAAAGCTCGGTGAAGTACTCGAGTAGAATTTCTAGACAACAAAAATATTCTTGCAGACCAGCCTTTGCCCCCCCCCCCACACATTGAAAGAAGAGCCATCCAAATGAGATTGAATGGCAACAAGACGAGATATTTCAGCGTTGGCACTGGTCTCTGCCATAGCTGCTTTCTGTCTTCCTCGTCTGTTTTTGTTGCGCATGGATAGGATGGTCTGGCACGGATAGACGAAAAGTGTGTCAGACTAGGAGTTGTGGATACGAGAAAGTCGTTTGTTTTATTGGCATCTTCTGGAACTGATCTACAGTGTCCTTGGAAAGGTTTGCAGACAAGTGCGACGTGACCGACATGCGTGTGAACGCATTTAAAACGAAAAGCCTAGTGCTTTCTCGTTCTCCTGCCCATTGCTCTGTTCAGATGAACACAGAAGTAGTGGAACAGGTAGAGAAATTCAGTAAGCTGATGTGTACAGGTGAAGGAAAATGGGAGGAGGCGAGTGATCGGTGAGCAAGAACAATCGATGGCGTTCTATCGTGGTTGAAAGCTTTTGATCCGGGGTACAGACGGCTGAAATGGAGTCTCTGCAACGAGTCACTGGGCTAATGCGCGTCTACATGGCTCAGAGCACGGATATAGATATTTGAGAGACCCTTTGTGAAGGGGGTCACAACCCCTGCTTCCCCGAAATTGGAAAGTCACAGCTGCGACAGTTCAGACTCGTCTGCCGATGCTTTTAGAAAAGTAGGCGAACAGCCTACAGCCTATTTGCCCAACCGACTGGACTAACACCTGTGTAGGCATTGAAGGAGTCTACTGCAGACTCGAATTATCTGCAGCTGAACCTGAAACAATGGCAGCATGAATGTTGGAAACACTGTCTCATTCGTCTGCCTTCACAACCTGAAAGGATAAGGAGTGGTCGAAGCCACCTGACTGCTGAATATTTATTTAATGCATGAATCGTGTTATGGTATTTAAAATAGCTGAGTAGTTGCTGAGTAATGCTTGTGAAGGCGTTATAATGCAGTATGAATAGTTGTTGCTGCACTTTTGCTGCATTTTTATAGGATTGTGAGGGAAAACGGGGTAATTAGTCCATGTTTACCGGTTGAAGCGTTTGAACCAGGGTTCACCATAGAATTAACCATTTGTGCAGTTTGTGCGGCGGCTGCGCCAAGGGGTCGATAAGCTTGCAAGGCATCAAATGCACGGCCGGACGTCGCTCCCGGTAGCATACACGAGTACCCAGAGTCGGCAGTACCACCTCCGAAACTGTTGGCCATGTTGAAGTTTGGAATTGCGGGAGCTCCAAGTCTGAAACAAACCAGTGTCACCGTCACTCAAGGTATACTGTACATGTAAAATGACTTACCCGTAAGTATCGGGCATGGTTGGCTGTGACAAGCTTGAATAAACGGAGTTGTGAGACTGGAAAGCACCGGGAAAGTTCCTTTGTATTGGCATTGGGGTAGATGCTATCATGGAGCCCAGAGGAGCTGATGGAGTGGATGAAGCCGTACTGTTGTTGTTGCCGCTGTTCATTTGTGACGGCATTGATGTGGTATCGAACAAACGCTTTTGGTTGCGCAGTTTCTCCTCCCTTCTCCACTTTGCACGTCTGTTGGAAAACCAAACCTTAAATGAACAGTTTGCTGAGTGAATAGCAAGCCCTTTGTGCGGCATTCTTCGCTACCTGAATTCGCGCTTCCGGCAGGCTGATTTTGTTTGCCAGGCTTTCCCTAGCGAAGACGTCCGGGTAATGGGTCCTTTCAAATTCTAAATTTAACTCCTTTGTCTAATCCGTCGCGTTCCATTTCTTTTTTTAGTCTCACCTCGCTCCAATGAGTCAATCTGCTCCTGCGTGAAAGAGGTGCGGTTTCGCTGCAGCTTTCTCTTAAGTCTGAGGCGTGCTGAGGCCGCGTCGTCACCGCCTGATTCAGAATGCTTTGAATCGTCATCTAAACAGTTGTCGGTTAGTGACAATCGACTGAACATTACTTTACATGCAAATCGGTTCATATTATGTAGGAATATTAGGAAATAGCACAGAAAAGTATCCGACGCTAAACTGGCAACGACACACAAAAAATATAAATTATATCTTGTTGACTGGTTGAAAAAGTATCACACTGATTGAACAAAAACTTGCGTTTGTCTTTTAAAGCTCATACCGATTCAGTGCGAATATTTGAACTAAGAATGCATCCAATCAAAAACGAAGGTTTTCTGATGCAATGGTCATTGGTATAAAATCAAGCGAACGCAAATCAGCTCAACATGGTGATCTTTCGATCG